CTTAGCGGAATAATCCATCCATCCAAATCCCCACTTGGGGTGGGGATTTTCTTTGTGGAGAAGAAGGACAAGACCCTCCGTCTGTGCATTGCCTTTCGGGGGGTTGAACAAGACCACAAAGATACTTAAAAATAAGTGTCCCCTGCCATTGCTGTCTTCCACTTTTGAACTGCTTCAAGGGGCCACTAAGCTCAGGAATGCCTACCATTGACTTTCAGTCAGTATCAGGGAGATGAGTGAAAGATGGCTCAATAACATTTTGAGTACCTAATGTTCAAATAATTATAAAAAGTTAATGGTGAACTGGACTCTACCTGGTCATGCCTTTCAGCCTCACCAATGCTCCCACAGTTTTTCAGGCCTTGGTTAATGACGTTTTGAAAGATTTCATTAGCCTCTGTGGTTTTGTGTACCTTGATAATATTCTGATTCTGAAGTCTTGGTTGAACATGAGAAGCACATTCGCCAGGTCCTGCAGCAGTTGAAAAATTGACTATTCGTCAAAGAAGAGAAGTGTGAGTTCCATGTTCAGTTGCTCTCCTTTTTGGGGTTTATTGTGGAGCAAGGCCAGCTTCAGGCAGATCCAGCTAAGATAAAAGAGGTGGTTCAATGGCCAGAGCCCCAGACCCGTACGCAGCTGCAGAGGTTCCTGGGCTTTGCAAATCTTTACAGACATTTCATTTGAGATTCCAGTTGCATTGCTCTGCCTTTCACATGCTTAACTTCTCTGAAGGTCTCATTCCAGTGTTCCCCAGCGGTCCAGCAAGCATTCATCCAACTCAAGCAGAAGTTCGCCTCCGCTCCCATTTTGGTTCAGCCAGACTTCTCTCAATCATTCATAGTGGAAGTGGATGCATCAGATTTTGGAGTTGTGTTGTCACAGTGTTCTGGGCGTAAGCTTCACTCGTGTGTGTGTGTGTGTGTGTGTGTGTGGGTTTTTTTTTTTTTTTTTTTGTTTCTCTGCGTCTCTCGCTGGCAGAGCGGAATTACGACATAGGGGATCAACAATTGTTGGCCATAAAGCTCGCACTGGAGAAATGGAGGCACTGACTGGAAGGAACAGCTATTGGTCATCTGGACAGACCACAAGAACCTCGAGTAGCTGCAAGCCCCTCAACTCCTGTTAGGTCAGGTGGGCTCTGTTCTTTACTTAGTTCAATTTGACCATCACATACAGACCCAGCTCCCATAATGTGAAGCCGGAGGCACTCTCCTGGCAATTCTCTCGGTCAGAGAAGGACGATGCCATCCTGCCTGCGACCTGGGTTACTCAGATGGGAGATCAAGGCTCTAATTAGAAGCGCTCAGCAGGAGAAACCTGACCGTGGGATGGGTCCTACAAACCAGATATACGTGCCCCCTGTGGTTCATGGCAAGCTTATCCAGTGGGCCCATTCTCCTAAGTTGAAGCACGCTATATCATTCATGCAACGCTTGTTTGGGTGGCCGTCTTTGGGCCAAGATGTTTAGGATTTTGTCTCTGCTTACCCTACCTGTGTGTGGAATAAAGCGTCCAACTCCCCTCCTTGTGTGTTTCTCAGGCCCCTACCTATAACCAGAAGGCCCTGGTCACACATCGCACTGAACTTCATAACTGGACAGCCACCGTCATACTCATCATGGTGGATGGTTTTTCTAAAGCTGCACATTTTATTGCTCTGCCCAAATTGCATACTGCATTAGAGATGGCGAAGCTACTGATTGATCATGTGTTCCGCCTACACAGCATCCCTCAAGACACTGTGTCCGATCGGGGTCCGCAGTTCACGTCGCAGGTTTGGAAGGAGTTTTGCACCGTGCTGGGGGCCCAAGTGAGTCTATCCTCAGGGTTTTATCCTTACACCAACAGGCAGGTGGAGAGGGCCAACCAGAAGTTGGAGTCCACTCTCCACTGTGTGGCTTCATCAAAGCAGTCCCACTTCCACTCACCTATCATGAGTGGAACATGCTCATAATTCAATGACCAACTCTGCCACTGGTCTGTCGCTGTCTCAGGATTCATTGGGGTATTAATCAACGCTCCTGTCCATCACTGAAGGGGAACACGAGGTTCCCTCGGTTCAGCATCACCTCCGTTGCTGCTGGCGCCTGTGGAAATTGTTCACAGGATCGCCTCTCCTGCAGTCCAGGGCAGAAAGTATGGTTGTCTACAGCAAACGTCCATTAGATACAGAGTCCAAAAAGATTTCTCCTCACTTTATTGGCATGTTTAACATTGAACTATGAACAGAATCAACTTTTACTTACCTGGATTATTGAGCATGCATCAAGACATTGTGACTATGATTAATTCTGTGACTGCTCGATTGAACTTACCTCAAAATATGAAGATTCATAATGTCTTTCATGTCTCCCAGCTGAAGCCTGTCCAGTCCATTGTCCGCCTTTCAGGCCCCCCACCACCCACCCGGGTTATTGACGGCAACCTGGCTTAATCCGTTACACGGATGTTACACGGTAGTGGCTTTCAGTATTTGGTGGATTTGGAGGGGTATGGTTCAGGTCGAGCAGGCTCCCCTGCACGGGGACCTCCGTCTCGCGGAGGCAGGCTGCACCTTGGCTGGTTGCACCCTGGGGGGTGGCACGGGCGCTTAAACGGTCTGGACCTCCACTCCCATGCTCCCGGGGAACGCCGGTGGGGGTGGCGGCAGTGTCGGCCAGGACTGGTTCCGAGCTGCCAGATTCTTAATCACCTCCATATGATGCTCGGTCTGGTCCTACACCTCTTCCCACTGGCAGCATGACATCACCACCTGCTCCTGTTGCGTGGCCGCCAGCTCGGCCACCATTTTGGCCAGCCCCTCCCTTGGCTGGCCCGGTCCTGGGTCTGCCGCGCCCCCGTCCTGGGTTTCGGCAGCACTGTAATGAATCCATGGCAGACCTGGCCACACGTTCATGCTTTCCAGCATCTTTTATTCATCACAAGTTTTACACACAATGGGAGCAGCTCTTCCGCTGCCAGCCGTACTCACATCAACAACAACACCACACTCAGGACCCAGTACCATTTATGCAGGGTGGCGCAATGAGCCGATGCAGCTCCGGTACGTCGACTTCCACAGCAGCCGCACCACAACTTTCTTTGTGAGAAATGCAGTCAGTCCCCCAGCTAGTGAAGTGAAAGAGTTTTGTGTTGGCAGGTCGTAGGGACTGTACTTACTGCAGCGTCTGTTTCCAGGAGAGTCAGGGGAAACGAGTGGAGGGAGCTGGACACGTTTGTACATAGACAACGAAGGGAGCGGAAATACTCACCACAGATCACAGGGAGAAGTCACGGCACAGGAGCAGGGCACAAGCACATGAAGAGAGCACGCATTGAGGATTATTAGCACCATTTGTTATTCTTAGGCAGTCCTGCGTTTGGGTCCTGCTTTGGCCTACCTGACACAAATCCTACCACCTTGGACTGCAGTTTGCTTCTCTGAGATCCACTGCAAGCTGGTGGGCCACTCCAAAGACCTTTACTGTGTGTTGTGAAAAAATCACATGAAATTCAAATTTTTTGAATATGTATTATAATGTTGTTATGTAACCTATATACACACTGAGTTCTTCCTGAAAAAAAAGATAGTTGAAAGTTTCATCCTTAAAAAATGCACTGAAAAATGAAGTTGAGCTCAAGCGATGATGATCTGGACTTTGTAAACAAGAAGAAGAAACTGAGATTTGGGGTTCAATTCTCACAAGAAGGCAACAGCAGGGAGAAATTCATGGTTGGATCCAAGAGTTGGGGCTGTATCATGTTTGCTTTAGTATATATTTCATGATCTCACTGGGGCAGTTTGAGCTCTTTTTGGCAGACTTGGTACAACATCCGAGGAAACAGAGAAATAATTTCAGAGAGCATCTAGCTGTATATCTGAGGAAAAACAGTGTTACTTTACCATTTAAAGATATGTGTATATTCAGCACCGGTGTGATTTTGAGCTACGAGTGCACTGGCTGCCAAATGTAGTGGCCTGATTAGCCAGATCAGTTTATTTGCATGCAAAAACTTTGAAAAATCAAGCATGATGTGAAAAAATAAATGCTGTAGTTTTGTGTTGTGAAATTACACTGTCGGTGTGAACAGCTGCATTGAGAATAAGGGAGCCAAAAATACTTTTAATGCTGAAAATAGTCAAGCAAATTCTTTCGTGTCCATTGCATAAAGGCCTACTAAACAAAAGTTGCAACAGGTGAAGAACTGGTTCATTCATGTGGCGCTACATCAACCTGTTTAAACTGTATAAAAGGCTCACTGCTCATTATAGATAGCTATATTAATTACTCATATAGACATAACGGCAAACACCCACAAGACAATCTTGAGCAGTCTTGTGTATTTTTCAGTCGTCTAGGCACTGCCATTTGGTCGATGATGAAGTCACTCAGATTCTTGCACATGTCCATTTTTCTTACTTTCACCACACATTTCACTTTCACTAAGTCCAAGAATTGACCTTTCAAACATCACAATGACATGAGTTTTTATATTTCACAGGAAGTTCTTTTTGTAGATGCAGATAAAGTTTTACTGTTATGAACTATTATTATTATTATTTTAGTCACTATACAATAAAATAAAAAATGGCAACGCATTCATGAAAGTATGATTATGAGTGGTTGGAAAACAGCTCACATTGTGAAGATGAAAATAAATCCAAACAGACGGGATCTGCAGCTGCATCAAAAGGGTTAACCGTCTGGGTCCATGAGACTAAGAAGTGTGTGTGTGTGTGTGTGTGTGTGTCCGTGTGTGTGCGTTGGGGTGGGGGGTCAGTAAGTGCAGCTCTATAATGTCAGTCAGTCTTGGAGTGTGAACATGTTTGAAAGCAGCAGCAACGAGGGAGTAAGGAGGAGAGAGAGAAGAAGGGCAAAGCCAGAGAGAAGTGGAGGAGGGGTGTCTGGTAGAGAGGGAAGGAGGGAGACAGAAAGAGAGGGGGAGGAGAGACAAGCCGAGTGTGCACAATATTCATTCAAACTGACAGAGGCTGTGTGTGTGTGTGTGTGTGTCCCAGTTTGCATTTCCCATTGCTCCATAGTCTCTCTCTCTCTCTCTCTCTCTCGCTCTCCCTCTCTCTCTCTCGCCAGACAGTCTGCAGTTTAAAGCAGTAGGAAGAAGACACCGGAGAGCCCACCGGAGAGGAAGAAAAGCAAGAGAAAGAGTGTTTTAAGCGACAGGCAAAGAGGAAGAGGAACAGGAAAAGGGAGGAGAGAGGAAGTAAGGAAAGAGCAGGGATTTGTTGAGAAGGTGGTAAGAGAAAGAAGACGGACGGGAGGATGAAAGAAAGAGGGAGAGAGAGACAGAGTGGTGGTTCTGTGGGAGGGGGAAAGAAGGAGGTGTAGAGACAGAGGAATGCAGAAAAAGAAGGGGAATGCTTCTGCTGGCGATGATGAAGGAGGTAAGTCAGTTTGGACCTTTAAATTTTAAATATGTGTATGTTTTTTCCCGGCTGATTGTTGTGCCTGCGGCTGAGCTCTGATCCCACAGCAGCCCTGACATCTACTTTCCATTGTTGCTCTGTGGGAGAGGCCGCTCGCCGGCGGACATGAATGCGATGTGACAGTGTGTCAGCGGATGTTTGCCGACACTGATGTGTGCATGCATGATGCAACACCAAGGAGGAACGCCCAGAGAGGCAGGGAAAGAGTGCAGAGAGGGCATGGAAGTGGATGTAGTACAGGACAGCGAGGCTGCACGCTAACACAGCAGCGAGTGCGTTCACACAGTGGGGCTTTTCATTCATAATTTCGCATGTGTGTGTGTGTGTGTGTGTGTGTGTGTGTGTGTGTGTGTGTGTGTGTGTGTGTGTGTGTGTGTGTGTGTGTGTGTGTGTGTGTGAAGGATGTGCACGTTTTTACAAGTATCCATGGTTGTTAGGTTTGTGCATGGAGATGTGTTGAATATTTTGTGTGTGCTGTATGCATGCATGCACTTGGCTACCCCAGTGGAAGTGAATGACAATTAGATTAAAGTATTGATTTAGTCTGGGCCAGGTAGGGAGATGCCGTCTCAGTCACACACCCAGCAGCAAACTGGGGGGAAGGGCCATCACCATTCCCATTACACACACACACACACACACACACACACACACACACACACACACGCACACGCACACACGCATGCACACACACATATCTACGTGCATTAATAATTTTATTAAAAGTATAAGTCTGCTGCTTAAAGGTACCATTGGAAAACAAATCATCTTCAACAGAAACATAAAGACACGCGTTCCAAAACGCACATAAACACAAATATCTGTGCAGTTTGCATTTCTAATGTTGACCTTAAATGGTAAATGGCCTGTATTTGTATAGTGCTTTACTAGTCCCTAAGGACTAGGCTTTACACATCCAGTCATCCACCCATTCACACACTGGTGATGGCAAACTACATTGTAGCCACAGCCACCCTGGGGCGCACTGACAGAGGCGAGGCTGCCGGACACTGGCGCCACCGGGCCCTCTGACCACCACCAGTAGGCAACGGGTGAAGTGTCTTGCCCAAGGACACAACGACCAAGACTGTTAGAACTGGGGTTCAAACCAGCAACCTTCCGATTACAAGGCGACCACCCAACTCTCGCCCGAAATCGAAAGTCAGCCTCTGTTTCCAAACTCTGTGAACACACTCACAAAATCAGAATCAGAATCAGAATGGGGTTTATTGCCAGATGTTGAGGTTTACAACATTAGGAAAAAACACACATGGTTCAACTGTGAAAGACTCACTCTTACACACACGCACACGCACAAACACACAAACAAAGATACCCATATGCACAAACATTGCTTAGACTCTTATTCACAACGTCCATTATAAAAACAAATAAACATGCTTGTACACAAACATATGCACACACGGACTAATTTAACCTAGCACAGAAACAAACTTTCACTGAACCTCGCGCAGGCTCAGCAGTGGCTTCCTCAGTAATGGCAATGCCTCCGTTGAACTCATTCACTGGGTGGGTCATGGGTTCAAGTCCCAGGTGGGGGAGGGGGAGCGAGTGGGACAGTGGCTTTAAAGGAGGGAAGTATGGAGGGAGAGACAAGGCCCACCACTCACTCTGTTGCTCGTTTCCCCTCCACCCCCAAGTCTCTCTTTACCCCCACCCCGTTCCTTTACTTTGCCACAATCTGTTCTCTCATTCAGACACACATGTGCTCACATGCAGCCATGCATGCACACACAGAAATATGCAGGAAGTGACTATGCAATCTCTGCTGTGTGTGTATTTTTGTGAATGTGTGGCAGGTTACTCTGTGCATCCTTGTTCTGTATGTGTTATCTGTTACTTGGGCCAATATTAAAACACCACTATTTGTATGGCTGCTATTAAGATTTCCATGGTAATGAATATATATGTGTGTGTGTGTGTGCGTGTGTGCGTGTGTGCATGTGTGCGCGTGCTCTCAGGCTTATTTGTGATGTATATTCTCTGGCCACTCAACCCAAACTGAAAAATTGTCAAACACACATTCACAGCACACTGCAGAGTACGGCAAAGGTGTCAGATTTGATCACAGCAGGAGCATCTACAAACTATTTTTAGCTTTTCCCCATGTGCCCTTGAGCAAGACACTCAACCACCTAGCTGCGCGCACTGCTGTTCAGCAGTTCTGATCAGCACTGAAACATGCTCAGATTTTTATATGAGGAGGAAAATGCTTTTGAAACAGATTTTCAGTTCTTATGCTTGCAGCGTTTCCTCTGATGGGAGAAAAATCGGACAAAAATGGACCAAATGTTAAAGAGGTCTAATTATGTAGCTTCAGGTCATATAATCACCAGTAAGTGTTGGTGACACAGAAAGTTTGGTCTGCAAATTGTGTATATAAGGATTGATTTTTATTTTTGCATATTCAGGTTTAAATGTTGCTCCCTTTAAAAAAATGTGAGGAAAGAGCTCAGTCAAACATGCTCACGTGCAGACATGTGCTCATACAGCCACACATACTCACAGAAGGATCCTTGCACTTGTTTTGTGGCTTTAGCTTGATTGGAGATCTAAAACCAAAAACCTGAAACAAAAAAATAAAAATAAAAAAATCCCCCCAAAACAACAAAAAAGCAGCTCTTTTAACTCGATATAGAGCAAACATGCATGACATTTGCTGGTGCACATGAGTTCGAAAATACACACACAGCCTCTCTTTCATAAGGAAACAAAAGCGGCTGACCTTTGACCTTTACCATTCAGTCTGTCTGGAAAATACCATGCCTGGAATCGATCAACACTCCTCTCACCCAGACAGCCAACACCCCCATCCACCACCACCTTCTTATTCTCTTCACTCACCCTTGAATTCCCCCACCCGGCTCCCACCTCTAGTCCTCCATCAACACACAACCAGCTCCGCTGCATTTATGCTATGAACTTGTAGCATAACAGCCTTAAGGTCTTATAGCATGACCACACACGCAGTCATACAGGCCACATTAGAGCATTTCTTTTATCTGTGTTCTGTGGATTTATGATGCCTTTTGAGTGATATAGATTCCCACCACCATTACTGTACAGCATTTAGGTTGCAGGTGCTTCTTCAAAAAATGAAGCAAAGCTCCTTAGCAAAATAATGTGAATACTTCATTAATGTAATGATTGCCCTCTCTGCCATTTTTCAAATGCATTCAGATGCTAAGGACACCAAAACATGTCCTTTGCCAATACTTCTTATTCTCTTTTGTGCTTGTCACAACAAAAATAACATGTGTTCAAACACATTTAACAACAACAGATTTCTTAGTTTTTAAAAAGTAACTAAATATCAAATTTGCTAAATTGTATAACTAATATGTCACTTTTCTCAAACTATGTAAAAAAAAAGTGCAAGTACTCTGTTGTAACATGTTATATCCAGTATATCCATGTTACATCACAGTATTGTGGGAAGGTTCGTTATGCTGCTTATCCAGCCATTGTATGCTTAAGCTAGTCTTCAGCTGCGTCTTAACATGCTCTTTCACTATGTGGGCCAGTGTAGCCTGTGCTTATCCTACTGGTCATGCAAACGACGCTCATGTTGGAATATGTAAAGTACTATTCATATCTTTGACAAACCCAGGAAAACATTTTGTTTCCGTATGTTTTTCTTTCAATTAAAATTCACATCATCACTGGGAGGCGAACAGATTGAATAACAGATGAATATAAACCAGTCACACTTCAGAAATGAGACATCACACCTGGGTCACTTCTCATGTCTGTGTCATGTCAATGTCATTTTACATGTCATGTTTACACAAATGGCACCACTTGATTTCTTGGCTCAAGATGGCTTCAAAGCACCCTGTGAAAATAATTTCTATCATAATGTAGGGCAGAAAATTTTGGCACAGAATGTCAGGTCAGTTCCCATAACAACTCAATTTAGTATTTTCAAGGATCTGAAATGGCTAGAGTGGTTAATCAGAAGGTTGGCTCATTGAATGCTCATATTAAAGTGTCATGGGGAAAGATACTGAAAACATAGATTGCCATCTGTTGCTGTGTGTGTGTTTGTGAGAGACAAAAAAGAGCACTTAAAAGACAGATTAAAAAAACTAAATATAAAGCCCTGTCTGAATAGGTGAAGGTGGCTTGGAGTGTAAAAAGTACTTTGAGTACATTACAATGAAAAAGACATGCAAAAGGAGTTGGTGGAGGTCATTTCTTCTAGATTTGCATAGAAGATAAATATATATTATAGATATATATATATATATATATATATATAATATATATATATATATATATATATATATAATATATATATATATATATAAATATGTATGTAGTAGTATATATATATCATGGATACCAGAGGAAAGGGGGGTCCAACGACATATAATCGAAGAGGCCGTAGTGATCGATGTATCCGAATGACAGCAATATCAGGAAGAAGGAACACGAGAAGCTGGAGAAATACCAAGGGCTCAGAGAAGAGCTCGAGAGGATGTGGAGGGTGAAGGTAACGGTGGTCCCCTGGTAATCGGAGCACTAGGTGCGGTGACTCCCAAGCTAGGCGAGTGGCTCCAGCAGATCCCGGGAATAACATCGGAGATCTCTGTCCAGAAGAACGCAGTCCTGGGAACAGCTAAGATACTGCGCAGGACCCTCAAGCTCCCAGGCCTCTGGTAGAGGACCCGAGCTTGAAGGATAAACCGCCCGCAGGGGCGTGCTGGGTGTTTATATATATATATAATCTTATCTTTGAAGCGTATTCAAATATTTCATAGAAACGGCGCTCTACATTTCCCCCATAGCTTTTTTTTGTGTATATAATTGATTGATTTCTACCTGTATACACCAATTATCCCACATCTTTGGCTTTGTCTTTCAGCTGCAGCTGTAAGAAGAGTCCAGTGTCACAGTCAGCTGGCACAATGTCACAAACAATCTGGTGCAGGTAAGTCATTTCGATTTGTAACCAGTGATCTAGCAATAACAGGAAAAAATACAATGGTGGAAGACAGCATGAAACCTACAACATGGCTGCTTCTGTTAGACAACTAATTCAAATGCTTTGACTCAACTTGGTAATTAAGTCAGAGGGTTGAGTTTTCACTGATCTTTAGGGCAGTGTTTGCAGTAATTAGATTCCCACTTGTTGTTATACTGAAAATGCTTCCTGAAACTTGAAACTTTCAGATCGCTACTGTTTTGCACCATGATGTTTTTATTGCGAATAGATATACTAACACAAATGACAGACTTCTAATATTTTATATTTAGTTTAATGCCTCAAAATGTAGAATCTATTACCTAGATATTTGTTCAGCATTTCCATTTATTGCCCAATTCCAAATATCTCCAGCGTAATGTCATTGCACAGTCTAAATTTGTTCTGTAGCTGTTTGAGATATTAAAGCAGGTTTAGGTACCTTTGCTATATGCTGCATCATTAATCAAAATGTGTGGGTGCACCTGCAGAGCTCTTGTCACTTCCTGTTTAGCGTCTTCGTTGGTTCATCCTGTCATGGCTGTCCACCCCTTGCAGCACTTCGGGACAGGCTGTTTGTTAGCTTGCTGTCAGCCTGTGTTTTTCAAGTCTTGGAGAACATTCAACGCTGTCGGTGAGTTTGTGACTCAGAGAAAACCATCGAGTGTTGAGTGTACCCTAACACTTGAGATCACAACAACTCACAACACCACGTACCAAAAAATGTGTAGCACTCAGATATTACATAGTAATTTTTAGCAAAACACAGAAGTAAATACTAGCATTAACAATGGCTGCAGTCTATTAAGGTGTCACAAAATTCCATGAACAGTCTTACTTATTTAAAGCTTGTTAAATAGTCACAACTTTTACTCTGTTTATTCATGTTTCTGGATATAAAATTTCCTCCTCATTTTTGTGTCCCCAAACACAAATTTTCTTCTGAATGCACTCATACTGCATTTAGGCAATTAAGTGATGTAAATAATATGAATATTTGACCATTTTAAGGCTAACAAAGTTTTCATTTAGAGGCTGGAGGGATTGTTGTTGGCATAAACGCTTTTTCAGCTCACACATCAGACCCCGTTTAAAACCTAAAAGGGTTGATCTTTTTACCTCAATTGTGCTATTTTAATCACATCTATAGAAGCCACTTGGCTAGATTTAAGCCCTGAAAAGTAATTAGTAATGTTTAAGCTGAAAAGTACACAGATTTAGTTTACACAAGAAAAACTGGAAACAAAAACGACTGGATCAGGTAAAAAATAATATTCATATTAGTTAATATATCAAAGGCGAGGGGAAATGACGAACATGCCGACAAACTGTCCCAGCTGTAAAAACAAAATGTAAAAGTGCCACACAAACCGGAAATGGACACCATTTCCCTTCTAAATAAAAGATGTGCCCGTTGAAAACTGCAGCGCAGATGCAACTTTTACTTTGAAGGCCAACGACCTCCACTTCCGGTTCGTGTTGAACTTGGATTTTCGCAGGGCTAGTAGCTAGCTAGTATTTGCAGACAAACGTGAAAAAGTACAGTCAGTGGTGGCGGTGTGTTAGGAGCCAAGGTTTTCAGTGCATCACCAGTGCATCAAAACATTTTTCAGCAGCAAAGTGTGGTTGTATAACGTACAATAATGTTGGACAACCCTTGAGCACCGTGTCCATGATGTCAATGAGCCTCAATAAAAAGCTATTTTTTGTTCTGTGGGTGTGTTGAGCTGTGCTTAATTTAGGTTTTATTCCAGTATCTTTGTATACCAAAATCTGGGTTTCCCACACATTTTTTAAAAGTAATAATTTGTTTTATAAACTTTACTAAAGATAATCAAATAATATTTTCTGTACAAAAAGTGTCCAGGTCAAGTTGTACTTTCATATGTTTTTCACCCTTTTTATCACACACAGGAAGCATGTATCCAATTGTTTTGTGAATAATGTATCACTTTGTTTCTGATTGACTGTTGCTTATTGTTACATTGTATAAAGCTCTGCCTTGGCCAGTTCTAATCCAGTGCATGATTCCGGCTCACATTCATCGCTGTCGGTGGGTTAGTAATGCCATAAACTCGCCGGGGGATGAATGACAACTGTGTCCATGCTTGGCTGCGGTTCCTGATGTCTTCTTTTTTTCTTTCAGCTGCTTGTATCTGCTTAACTGATGGATTGTTTGTGTTGTTTTTCTAAATGAAATATGAACCCCAAAAGAAAATAAAGATTTTCAAACAGATTCAAATTACTGTCATATTTGGTGTGTCACAAGATGCATGATTATTTTAGAAGGACTGTCAGTGTAATTTTTCGTTTCTCTGTTATGAATTCTGATAATAAAAAACAAGAAGGAAAAACAGATACAAAACTAGAGTATTTTAAGGATGTTGTGAAGGCCTGAAAGAAACTGAAACAGAATGCAAAATTTCTAAAAGGTCATGGACATAATCACAATACGTCTATCTGATAGCAGTATACAGTCCTGACGATGATAGGAAGTTCCTGCTCTCATCTGGGAATGACAAAGGCACCCCAAAACCTGGGACTTTTTTTTATTGACTTCTGAGACCCTTCAGCAATGTGACTACACACCAGATTACACACATTAAGGAGTGGGACCCTGTAGAGGATACTTTGGGATTAGGCCTCAGGCCCCACATATGTATAGACATGTGTGGTGAAGTACTAAATGCGGTATATGTGCAAAAAAGCTATGCTAACTGAGAGCCAACAAAGGTAACGTTATTGGTCTTACTTGGAAATGAGCCAACGCAGGACACTTATAGTTCACACATCTTTTCTGACATTTGGCCAGAATGCTGTTTCATAATGATACAAACAAATGTAAAGCTCAGTATATACTGTCACAAACCTTTTGCACACATATATGCTTAACCATAGGCTCTGTTCATTATTACAGTATAAAATAATGAACATTCATTCATTTGGCCAGGGATAGCTCAGTAGGTAGAGTGGTTGCCCCATGATCAGAAGGTCAGGGGTTCAAACCCACTGAATGGCTACCCTGAGGTACCCCTGAGCAAGGTACCATCCCTACACACTGCTCCCTGGTGTGCCTGCTTAGTAGCTGCCCACTACTTCACTGAGTGAATGGGTCAAATGCAGAGAGAGTAGTTTCCCTGCGGGGATCAATAAAGTATACATTAATATCATTATTATTAAAAGCCAGGTTTCATTTGACTGGGTTTTGTTGAAGACATACTGCACATATCTACACATTTATATCTTCAAAAACAATTGGAATATTAGACATGTAGTCAACTCCTCCACCTCTTTCTTGCTCCAGGGGTTTCCTATTGTCTGATGTTCAGCAGGTGGAGTGGAGCTCAGACAGACTTGGCCACTTGGGGATATTCCACCTTTTCCTCTAAACACGTTCTTTGATAGAGGTTGGTTTATGTTTCATCATTCACATAACTTGTTCTTTTTGGATGCTGTCCTGATCTGCAGCCAGCCATTCTGTTTTAGAGCCTTACCAGGGGTTTGCATCATGTGACGAATTCTTTGAGGTTCTGCTCTTGATTGTTGACAAGAAAACCTGTCGGCCTACATCTTGGAGAGCATTGTTGACTTGCTGCATAGCTATAAAGGGATTTTCCTTCACCATGCAAAATATTTATACATTTATGCGATTGCATTCTATTTTCTTTCTTCTTCTTCTTCTTTTTCTGAGTGTGTCCAAATGCTGAGTTTGACCGTGAAATGTCTTTTTTGGTGGGTTTTTTCTTGGGGCATAGTTTTTAATATTTAGTTATCTTGCATCTAAAAACCACAATAACGACAAACTAAAAGACAAAGAAATAAGATGAAATAAAACAGTACATAACATGATACAGTGACTACACATAAGAAACCAAGCCAGGCTTAAGTTCTTAAATGCTTAATTAACTGTAAATAAACATACACATAAATCATATATAATAAAAACATTCTTAAAAACATTTGCATACACTTGTGCACTCAGCACTTGGAATAGTTGGTTTTGGGAGGCAGTAATGTGACAGAACAGCTGCAGAAGTGACGCGTGTTTTAATCGCAGATATAACACTGTAGATAAATCCATGCTATTAGGCATTTTGGGAGTTGGGCTGTCATATTATTGTCTCCCCAAAAACACTTTATACATTTTTACCTGATAGGTGGATAGGTATATTTCCAGCACTCTATCATGTCAGGTCCATTTGGACAGGGACACAGTGCTTCTGCAAAAGTATTATTATGAGTATTGTTATGAGTATTAACTCATTAAGCGTTACAATCATTTTTTTATACATAGGCTCTTGTATAAGTTAAAGAGTGATTGAGGAAAAATCATGCAGCTCTGGATACCTCAAAATCATCAAGATATTTTCTTGAAATACATTGGAGGATTAACATTCAACATTTCTGGCCAGAGCATATATTAGACATTATTCACAGACACACAACTCCGCCTCAGTCTGAATGGCAGCTCTCCTTTGGGTCTGAACCACTTGTGAGTTATTCTCATTCTGAATTAACCTTTTTAGTAAGCCTACTCGAAATTAAGCTGACAATTGGCACTCTGTTGTTAAATCTAAAATATTACTCACACTATTAGGAACAAAAAGGTGCAGATTCAAGTGACCAAACACTTAAAAACTCAAATGAACTGCAAATAGTGCAGTTACATAAATATATATGCTGTAATATATATATAAAATAAAATGCAAGAACGTGGAACATAAAATCAGCCTTTATGCGGATGATGTGTTACT